GCTAATAATTAAATCATAAAAATGCAAAATAAAAATAAATCATTTTAAAGCAACAACAATTAAAATAAAACACAATTAAAAAGATGAAATAATTTCTTTTTATTTATGACACATTTTCATTTACCTGCATGTCATGTGACCAACAGAGAACAGTGAACATGCAAATGTGTTACTTAATAAATATCTGATTACCTTAAAATCTCAGGGGGGCTTCAAGTACATATATTAGGTGAAAGTGATTCAGCTGACAAAAAAAGTTTGGGAATCTCTGTAATTGATGCAATGTTGAAATGCTGAGAATTTACTTCTTAAAATTGAAATGATTTCTGTAAATCCAGTGGTCAAATGCTGTGTGGACTCTCAGTTTTCAGTGTAATTATAGCCAGCTGACTAGTGACTGGTCTTTGTGTGAATGTTCACAAAACTGAAAGACTTTCTGAGTGTATATAAGAGGTAGGCTACTGTAGAAAGGAAATTTAAAAGATGAAAAAGAAGAATTAGGGAGAATCAATAAATTATGAATAAGTTATTGCTTTTGTGTGAATAATATGTAATAAAAAAGTAACTGTATTCCGATTACGAGTATTTTAAAATGTACTTTAACAAGTACTAAATTTTTGGAATCTTATTATGCAATCCATATTACATGTAATCAGTTACTACCCAGCACTGCTCGCAGATGTGTGTGGTTTAGACAATGTATTTAAGACTGTAAGAAGTATATGAGATTCATTACACCAAATACACAAAATAATGTTCTTTTTAGCAACATCATACGACCCCTTTAAATTATTGAAATATTAACTTCCTCAGAGATATTTCGAGTAAATATTTTATGTCAAAGCGGTTTGGCTAACAAAAACATTTGGGAATCCCTGCTCGGCATGAACAAACATTAATAAACGTGAACACAACAAGGACATTACACACCCAAAGTCTTCCAAGTTTGAAATATTTTTGTCCAGACTTCCAGAATCAACAGTTTCTGAAGGTCACTGGATATGATGACGACATAGTGTTTCACACATCGCCAGTGTTGAGTAACTTGCATAATTATTTGTTTCATACATAGACTAATTGCTTGAGGGATGCTGTGCAACCCCCAAATTAAGAAGCATGGATTACAGATTTATTTACATGACATTCACATGGCCATTCTATGTCATGAGTCAAAGCTAAACGGTATGGCACACAGTAGGATTTTTGGAAACTTTTAACAGAGAAAAAAATTACGGAGTTATGGAGAATCAATTAATTATGAATAACTCACTGACATTTTATGAATAATATGTAATCATGCAATCCATAAAAAAGTAGCTGTAATCTGATTATGAGCATTTTAAAATGTAATATAACCTACATGTACTCAATTTTTAAAATCTGATTACGTAATCCAGATTACAACTACCCAGCACTGTAATGAAGTTGAACTCGACAGTATGTATAGTAAGTAATAAAGACTATAAGAGAATGTTACTTCTATTTAAACCATATGGTAACAATTTTTGTCACGCCCTTAAATATGATGTCTGGGAATATTGTCACAGTATAACAGGATTGATTAAAAAGAGTCACACCACCCATGAAACACATGCAATCCAGTATGACTTTTATGACAACATTTTATTTCAAAACAAAAGAACATAGTTAAAGTAAAAAACAATGTAGTCATGATCCAAGTCATTTAGAGAATGATTCATTTACACGATTCCTTTAAAAAGCATATGATTTAACATGGACATATATGATTTCTCTGCTGTTAATTACCCATAAAACCTTCATCAAAATAGGGTTTGGGAGACATATAAACACAACATTGGCATCATAGTGGCACTGCAATAACTTAGACTCAACAGAAAATGACAAGGGTTCTTTAGAAGCAAAGGATTGTGGAAATTGACACTGTAATGTATTATGACAATATTATATACAACATGTAATTATGAACAAAAACAAACTCATATATCAAATGTGGGTTGTAAATAGCTTCTTTGGCAAAAATCATTTCCAATGCGAAAGGCTATTTGTAATCTTCTGCTGTGGTTATCCATGGTGGATAAAAAGCAGAGGTTATAGAACTCTTGCTGGGAGATCTTCTTTTGCTTCTGCATGATTCACAATCTCAATAATATAAAAAAAACACGCACAAAAAAAGAAAACCTTATATAAAAAAAACAACACAGGGATACATAAATTTATGCATACAGCATGTGTAATGCATGATAAATTGTACTAAATCTTTTAATAATGCACCCATACACCATTACAACTGTGACATGTGCAAAGTAAGGTGATGTTGCTTAGTTTACATACATTTCAGATTTTTCTCTGATGTTTCAAGTCCGTGCCCATAAACACCTTAGTCTCTTCAACATACATCATCCTAAAGGAACAGCCCAAAATGGAAACACTATAAGTTCATCATCATAGAATGATAACAGAATTTCTGTTTTTGGATGAACTATTCCTTTAATTCATTATGGTCTGGTACTTAAATTCAAAGACCAAAAAGCAACATGCCCCCCATCCCGATCAAAGCCACTAAAATCACTATTGCACAAATAAATGGCATCCAAAAAATGTTAGTGAAATGGCTGAATTTTGCAAATACATTTAGTTTTTGAAAGAAAACCTTTTCATCAAGAATGATTCAAACACAGTTGGGTCTCATTTACTGCAGGGTACACACATATTTGTGCGTAAAATCATTGTACAAACATTTTCATGCAGAAATCATGATTCATGAGCATGTTCTCATTAAAAATTCTAAATTAACAGTAAAATTTAGAACCGACTGAAATCACATGTACGCTTCCATAGAGTACATTAGTGCCCGCCCATTTTTTCAGCAGGTTGCAGAAGTATTTTTCCCATTCATTTTTCCCATAGAAATTTTAAAAATGTGAAAAATTGAATTAAAAACAAAGGAAAAAATTAAATTTAAAACTATTCATTTAAAGTTGTATAGTTATATAACGTTATATATGTCAATTTTATTGCAACACACACACACATATATATATATATATATATATATATATATATACTGTACATATGTAGTTTTTTGAGAGTGTGGGAAGCCCGACTTGATTATTTTTTGAGTTGCTTCATTGGAGTGAATTTGTACAGCATTATGGGAAATTTTGTTTTTTTACCAAGAATTATGCTATTAAGATTGTTTTAAAAATAAGTTGAATTAATGCGAACAGATGGGTTCAACAAAAGTATATAATATCGATTAACAACCTTGGAGCTCACAGTAGGTCTGTCTTTAAAGGTTTATAAGTTATTGTTAAAAATAAATTTCCCTATGGAGAAAATAGCTATGTTTCCATCCAAAGCTGCGAATTTAACTTATGCACAAAATTGGAATATTGCATAAAATATTTGTGAATAAAGCACTGTTTCCATCCAGCGAGACAAAGAGAACAAAATAGTCACTTCCTGATAAACTGGCACCAAATATCACAAAAAAAGGTAATTTGCTGCAGTAGGAGAAGCCCACGGTGGGTCTTGTTCCATTAAATTAATTGTGCCTCGGAGTGCGCAGACAAAATGCAATAAACGTGGTCATTGTGCAAAGTCACGTGACATTTTTTGATGCACATCGAGTAATTTATTCAGTAAATGTGAATAAAGCACTGTTTCCATCCAGCGAGACAAAGAGAACAAAATAGTCACTTCCTGATAAACTGGCACCAAATATCACAAAAAAAGGTAATTTGCTGCAGTAGGAGAAGCCACGGTGGGTTCCATATATAATAAATTAATTGTGCCTCGGAGTGCGCAGACAAAATGCAATAAACGTGGTCATTGTGCAAAGTCACGTGACATTTTTTGATGCGTTGCAGAAGTATTTTTCCCATTCATTTTTCCCATAGAAATTTTAAAAATGTCAACATAATTGAATTAAAAACAAAGGAAAAAATTAAATTTAAAACTATTCATTTAAAGTTGTATAGTTATATAACGTTATATATGTCAATTTTATTGCAACACACACACACATATATATATATATATATATATATATATA